AATCGCTAAGATTTAGAGCGCCGTGAACACCTACACACGTAATTTCTGCAGAGCGTCTATCATGCGCCTTAATGATGCCGCACGAGGAACCGGTCCACGCTCAATTTGGAACTTGCAGAGAAGATCGTATACGCGCAGGGTGACTCGCTTACTGGTGTGTGAAGAAAAACGCATCGTTACGAAAGCGGCTAGATTGGTTGTACATGATACGCAGCGGCAAGGCTACAAAACTCAATATATAGCGGCACCGAAACACACGCGTGAAATACAGTCCACGCCGCGAGGAGAAGAATGCAACGGCTAGATGTTTCTGCTTTCACCCTCTCCCTTTCTTGTCGTGCAAATTGACAGCCCACACTCATCTCCAAGAAGGGGGACCACGAATGTGCCACCTATAAGCTGACGCTCTCCCGGTCATTGGCCAGCGGTATTATTTTGCTAGGCTCCCTGCCGGTGTCGGAATGGTCGCGAATCGGGAGACGCTGGAAAGTTAAAACACCCGTGTGTGCACGCCGACAGACACTTTCTAGAGCGCGGAGAAACGGGAGTTGATATTGGAACCTCTCCAGGGGGCGGGAGGCAGCGAACCCGGGTCACGCTGCAAGCCAGCCATCTGCTGATGCGAACCGGCCGGGTGCCGCGTCTCGCCTTTGCAGCAGCAGCGAGAGAGCGCAAACAGTGCACAGCCAGCGCGGGTATGTATACCGCCGGTGGCCCAGTCCCAAGATAGAAGCTCTCGCAGGGAAGGACCGCGAGCGCTATACAAGCTCGGTGCGAAGCCACCGCGGCACAGTGGACGATAATAATACTGATTGTTGGCCTAGTTGGTATTTACTTAATGGCATGATTTGGCCGCAAAAGAGACACACACAAGAAAAGGAACACTCAAACGACAAGCACAGGCGGCACTTCCAACTAAAGCAGACTAGGTGCAGACCCAGACTTAAGTACGAAAATATAGACATGCGCAGTCTTCATACAGCCTTACGCTATCCAACAATCAAACAATCTTGTCTCCGAAGCATACAACGTCACCGACGGTTCGCTGATACACCTTTCACCTTTCTTTTTAATGTAATAGGCTTCCATCAGCTCACGCGCAGTTTTGTACCTGCTTCTACCCAGAATCTTAAACTCATTAAAACGTGGTACACACCCACAGGCTTTACAGTGCATAGGCAAATGCGCCAAGCCGTCGTTCATTAAATTTAATTCGTGCTCCCTAACTCGTTCATTGATGCAGCGCCCGGTAATCCCGATGTACGAGTTGCCACACGATGTACGAGTTGTACATCGGGATTACCGGGCGCTGCATCAATGAACGAGTTAGGGAGCACGAATTAAATTTAATGAACGACGGCTTGGCGCATTTGCCTATGCACTGTAAAGCCTGTGGGTGTGTACCACGTTTTAATGAGTTTAAGATTCTGGGTAGAAGCAGGTACAAAACTGCGCGTGAGCTGATGGAAGCCTATTACATTAAAAAGAAAGGTGAAAGGTGTATCAGCGAACCGTCGGTGACGTTGTATGCTTCGGAGACAAGATTGTTTGATTGTTGGATAGCGTAAGGCTGTATGAAGACTGCGCATGTCTATATTTTCGTACTTAAGTCTGGGTCTGCACCTAGTCTGCTTTAGTTGGAAGTGCCGCCTGTGCTTGTCGTTTGAGTGTTCCTTTTCTTGTGTGTGTCTCTTTTGCGGCCAAATCATGCCATTCAGTGGACGATGCACCGACGAGGAAGGAACACAGCAGCGCGGCTGTGACGGCAATAAGCGTCCTCCGCGGAGCACCCGGTCATTTCACCACACTCTACGATATGCTGGCGTTTTTTTCCTCATTGTGGCAGACGGAGCACCAGCACGACGAAATGACCGCAACAGTATTACAGAGACAACTACAGCGGGGACGGTGAATGGACGTCGTTAGTCGATGTCCATTGACTTCTTCCCAAGCTGTATGCCACACGCCCCCCCCCCCCCCCCCCCCCCCCCCCCCCTTTTTATCTCCATTACGAAAAGTTAGAGTGGTATAGAGTGGGTTAGTAAAAAATTCTTATTGAAAACAGGTTTAGAAAATACTCTTCTTCTAAAGAACCCACATGGAGGACAAAAAGAGCGGAAACAAGCACTATCTTTCGGTTATTCATTCTTTTTTCCCCCTTTTTTTTCTTGTTGCGCGCTTCGACACAAATCACCAGCAAGCCCGCTTTAATGCTTCGTTAGGCGGTGTCGTTCGAAGCATTGGTCAAGGTTCACCAAATATCTTTGGCGTACACTGTAATCTTCCCGTGTCAACGTGGAAGCCGAACGAACTATCTCATTTTCTACCACCTTAAGAAAAACACGTGTTCCCCTTCCCTTAAGAAGGCCCACTTTGGCTGCACTTCGAACAAAAAACAGGGGGAACTATTCATAATTATCAAGTAGCTTTCTTGAAGGCTCATAGACTTGTCGGAGAGCAACGCATTTCAAACTATGCTTCAGGCGTTAGTGGAACATCGCAAATAGCAATACCCAGCAGTATTTTATGCAAATGACACTACGGCGAAGGACAGGCTATAAAAGCCCGCTATTCGTCCCATCTCAGAGCACACAACAAGCATGCACAGCTGCGATACCAACAAAACGAGCCGAATAGCTCGACTATACAGAGAGCAAGGCGGTAAGTTGGGCCAGTTGGTTAGGATCGATCGTGAACTTTCTTACAGCGCAACACCAGAAAAAAATACAGGACAGGGAAGGACAGCGCCGTCTTTTCTTTATGTTCTACTCCTTCCCTGTCCTGTATTTTTTTCTGGTGTTGCGCTGTAAGAAAGTATACAGAGAGCACGCGCAGTGGACGCCGTCAGATATTGATTTATATGTCGGGTTTAACGTTCAGAAACCGCCATATGATTATGAGAGCCGTCGTAGTGGAGGGCTCCGAAAATTTCGACCACATGGGGTTTTTTTAACGTGCACCCAAATCTGAGCACACGGGCCTACAGCATTTCCGCCTCCATCGGAAATGCAGCCGCCGCAGCCGGGATTCGATCCCGCGACCTGCGGGTCAGCAGCCGAGTACGTTAGCCACTATACGACCGCGGCGGGGCGACGCCATCAGATAGAAGCGCCAGGTTCTCTAGGACCAACGGAACGACCGAGCCGCATAGACACACACGGGGACGTCAAAAAAAAAAAAGTGCTCGCATTTTCTCCGGCCAGAGGAGTGCTGCGCAAATATGGACACTGCCAGGAGTGGCTCGCACGCGTGTTTGTCGACCAACTCGGGCGCTCGACCGGCCAGTATTGCTGCCCGCGTTACGAGCGCCCGTAAGGCGGGCCAACTGCTCCACATTCGCGTGTGTTGCAATAAAGCCAACTTTCCGCAGTCACCTTAATTCGCCTGCCTCTTCTGAAGACAATGCTGCTTGTTTTTTTTTTTTTTTGTTGTTGTAGCTAAAGCATGCCTGAGAACTCGGAGAGGCCACATCCCTGCACGGTAAGCCACGAGATCCAGGGACCGACGCGCCAGAGAGAGACGCTCGGCAAATACGGGGACGAGATTGAGCCGGTGGCCGCAGTGCAGTGTGGCCGAGCGTAGGTGGACTTCCCTAGACCAAACACCGGAGGAAGTAGCGGAAGGAAGGAAGGAAAGAAAGAAAGAAAGAAAGAAAGAAAGAAAGGAAGAAAGGAAGAAAGAAAGAAAGATCGGACAGCGCGCTGTAAGAAAGGAAGTGGGCAGGGGAGGGCAGTCGTCGGGAAAAAGAGCGAGTCGGAAGCCGGCGGGTCGCGCTCACAGAGTCAGCGCCGCGGTGCGCAGGAAAGCGAGACGAGAGCGGAACACTCGCCGGAGGCACGGCGCACTGCGTTAATCGCCGCGACGTCGCTCCATCGCGACTGCATGTGCCCGCCAAGCCATTCACCGTCCCGGCAGCTCTGAGCGAAGGAGAAAGCGAGGCGAGAGGGGCACGGAGGGCCGACAGCGGCCAGATTCGCGCGCCGTGTCTCATCACGCCGCGGCCCGCTGGGTTTCGGCGAGCGTCGTCGTCGGCGCCGACAACAATGGCTATATAGCACGCGGCCTCAGCGTAGCCCCGAAGCGCGCATAACGAGAGACGACGCCGTCCGCTGCGATAGCATCGACGCTAGACCGTGGGGGCAGCCGGGAGGGAGCACTGAGCAAATAGCTGCAGCAGCTCGTACGTCTCCTCTTCTCGCAACGAGGAGGAGGAGAGATAAGCATCTGCGACGGCTACCGAGAGGCGCAAGGCTGACGACCGCCACACTGCTTGCTCGCTGCCCACGTCTCGCTGGACAACTGAACCCACGACACGGGCGCAGACATGGCTCCTATTCCGCACTAACAAAAAGAAGCTTGCGATGAGTCCAGATTCCTCGCTGAAAGGATTTCAGGGATAACTACTGAGGCATATATGATTTGGAATGGAGAAATAGACAACAACTCGTTCGTAGCACAAACTGCAAGGAAATCCACGCTATTTTGTTTTGAAAAAACAAAAATGCTTTATAGTTGACCAAAAACTGATCGTCAAGATCAAACCTGGGTTCAACACCTTTCAGAGGTGCTCGTTCTATATACCAACAGAGCTAACTAAGCAGCGAGCCATTGGCAGCGCGACGACGAATTGAGCGACAAATCGAAGCGCATGGAAACTGCATACCGCAAACGAGTTATGCGGAAACTCATATGAAGTGTAAACAACGAGTTAGAAACCCAACACCTGCATTCTGTACACTGTATTTTCAAATGGTTATTCGCTTTTGATCATGTAATTATCTCAGGTTTCCACCACGTTCTATATCCAGAACCGCGTGATTTTTGCTTGCGAAACGAAGAGGAAATGCGAAATGCACAGCCACAACTAAAGATGCATATGCGGGATTTCGCTTTCCGGCTAAGTTGCTCTCCTCGCTACATGCGCACTGCGAGGCGACAGGAGCCGGTGACCCGACTTCTTCACACATGAAGCTCACGCAAGAAAAGAGAGGCCAACTGACCTGGACTACCCCCAGGTCCATCATGTCGTAGTGGAAGTGGGCACATTCTCCAAGCTTGGGGAACCGCGTCCCGGTCTCGGCGTTCCTGCAGCACAAAACAGCAGATAATACTGTCAGTACGTACGCAATCTATTGGACACACACATACACACACACACACAAAAAAAGGTTTCTTTGGTCGCCTTGAATCGGTAACGAATGTGTTCATTTTTTTTTTTAAGTGACTGCAAACAGTTCGCATTGACTATTTTATGCCTTTTTTTTCTACCACGGCGTTGAAATAAGTAAATCTCAAACAGAGAGCGGTGGCCGCTGGACTCCGTATATATAACCTTACCGAGGAGAGCAAAGTTACTTACACCGCTTAGCGGGATTCTATGTAAACGCCACCAACGACTCCTCCAGTTTGGTCGGCAAGCTTCTAACGCCGGCGCGTTGTCCGGCGTCGTAGGCAGCCGGCATATACGCCAGTGTTGCCGGTGTAGTTGCCGGTGCAGGTACACTTCACCGTTCAAAGCGGAGATTAAAGCAATACTCACTAGATGGTGGGCCAGCACCCAGGGTGTTTTCCAAACAATGAAAAGTTATTGAACAGGCACCACCAGCATTGATGTACGCAGATGATATAGTGCTAATAGCCGACAACAAGGAAGATTTGCACAGATTGATGAACATCTGCGGCAATGAGGGAGATAGGTTAGGTTTCAGATTCGATAAGGAAAATAAGCAGTCATAATGTTTAATGATAACGAAGATAGTGAGCTTATGATTCAGGAGGCCACACTAGAGATGACAGATAAATACAAATATCTGGGTGTATGGATAAGCAATGGGACCGAATACCTAAGGAAACACGAAATATACGTAACGACTAAAGATAACAGGAATGCAGCGGTGATGAAATATAGGACACTGTGGAATTACAATATGTATGACGTGAGAGGAATATGGAAATGGGTCATGGTTCTTGGTTTGACTTTTAGCGATGCGGTCTTGTGCATGAGATCAGAGGCTCAATCAAGTTTAAAAATTAAGCAACGTGGAATACGTATAGGTTTGCTTTAGGAGCTCACGGGAATACACCAAATCAGGGATATGGGATGGACATCATTTGAGGGCAGGGAAGCTAGCAGCTAGACAAAATTTGAGAAACGATTGAGAGAAATGGGGGAGGAGCGTTGGGCTAGGAAGGTTTTCACCTACTTGTACATGAAGAATGTCGATACCAAATGAAGGAAGCGAACCAGAAAGTTGACGGGCACATACTTAGAAAAGAGCAGGGGGCCAAACCAAAAAAGAACTATCGGTTAAGAAGAAGGTGAAGGAAACGGAGACCGACATGTGGAGAATTGGCATGATTAAAAAGTCCGCGCTAAAGATCTATCGAACTTTTAAGCAGGAAATTGCCAAGGAAAGGATCTATGATAATACTCAGGGTAGTTTTCTACTGTTTGAGGCCAGGACGGGAGTATTGCGAACCAAGACTTACCGGACCATATACGAAGGGGTAGACACGATATGCAGTGCGTGTGAAGAGGAGGGGGAAACTTCCGAACACCTGATAATGTTCTGTAAAGGGCTTCACCCTATTGTTCAGCATGATGGCGCATAGTTATTCAAAGCACTGGGGTTTAGGGACAGCGAGGGCAAAATAGACTTTAAGCGGGTAGAAATAACTAGAAGGAGGTTATTTGACTGTTGGCTAAAATCAAGGCACGAGCGAAAATTAAATCCTTCGCTGCAAAGTACCAGTTTTCAACTTCACTATTTAAAGAAAAAAAAAGGTAAATATAGTTGTTGGTTCACTAAGTATTACAACTAGGTGGCGCTAGCCGCCGCCCGATCTAAAGGCTACAGCCATATCAATCCATCCGTTAAAGAGCCTCCATGTGCGCGCCGGCGCGCACATGGAGGCTTCATACAAGGCGTCAATTTGGGTTAGCCCGCGCGCTCGCCTCCTCGCGACGTTGTCCACTTCGCAGGCACGGCGGCACGTAACAAGTTCCTACGATGAGTGTTACGCACGATTACCGATATCCTTCCAAGTCCCCTCACTTGCCTGCTCTCGACTCCCTTGAAGAATGCATGATAGCTCCATATTTGCCACTTATGAGTGTTAGGCATTTGACTCAAGGCAGCGGCAAGTATGGCATAAAAGGGCATGCAGATGATCGACGTGGCTAACACTGTGCAGTGCCGACCACGGAACATACTGTACACATCACACGTCGGCTCGTTAACAAACCTTTCTCGCCAAGAAGCACCTCGTGGACCCCCGAGCAAGCTCCTCTAACATCATCCTCTTTATGGATATGGCGTTTTTTTTTTTTGTGTGTGTGTGAATGCTTCCGCGTTTTTGGATGGTACATGTATAAAGAACCAGTTAACACGTATACGTAATAAAACTTGTGATCGCCCTGCAGGAGTGTCACATGCCACGTCTCTGTAGTCTGCAAGGTCACGACGAAACTAGACATACTCACTGTGATTATGCGCCTAGAGAAGAATTATGTTTAGGCGGAATTTAAAGAAAATGCTTAGGCTTCATGTGCTGAAATCACGTTATCACATTGCAGCACGCCGTAGTGAGAGACGCTAGATTCATCTCGACAAACTGCGGCGTCATTTCACGTGCACATTTATGTAAGCACACGGGCGTTTTCTAAAGCGGCATTCGCGCCGAAACACATCCGTTAAGGCAGCGTTCAAACACGCGACATCGAACTCGGCAGAAGCAACGCGACAGGGTTATACCGTGGCAAATTAGAGCGGAGCCAACAACTCCGCCTGCTCATCTGTATCCTTTTGTGCACTCAACTTGTCCAAGCTTAACCGCAGATATTATAGTCGTCTTCATATCCGTGAGTGTCATGTGACCCGAGCATAAACGTCACTGATGACGTCATACCACCACCGTAAAACTTGAACTAATGGGGAAGTACTGCCGATAGCGTCGCATAAGTATAGTTATTCTTACAGTGTCAGTGGTTGGTCCCTGACGAGAAAGCAACCTGCGCCACTTCTGCCAGAGGTCGAGTCAACCACGACGAGACGTGGATTTTCAGCTCAAGTCACTTCCCTCTCCCGCATGTCAAGTCACTTCCCTCTCCCGCATGTGATGTAGCATGTAAGTCGTAGAACGTAGTATAGTGATGTATTCCTTTTGTATCGGCTATGCATTAATTTTTACGCATGACATGACGGTTGTTATGTCAGTTTTCTACCCCACCCCTGTAACGGCCCAATCGGCCAACAGTACCTGGAAATAAATAAAAAAAATAAAAAAAAATGTCACGGTGACCGGAAGTTACAAAACTGTGCTCCTTAAGACCTGACCCCGCACCCTCTCACTACGGAGAAAGTGGGCGCGCCGATGCGCGAAGCCACGCGCCCTTTGTCTCTATCCGCTGCCAGGAAGTTTCCACATGTGGCTGATTTGACAGGACGATTGGACACGCATCGTTGCGAAACGGATCGGAAGACATGTACGGGCACTTTTATGCCGCTTCACGAAAAATTTGCCTTACACCGATTCCGCAACAAAGACTACATACGCACAAGGGTACGAAAGGGTGGTTGCAACACCCGGTCCGAAGAGCTGCAACCAGAAAGCATACAAGACGACAATGCTAGCCCTGGTCAGCCATGTGCCCTGAGTGTGCTTCGTCCCGCCGTCTGAACTGCTGAGCTACAAACTCAGGTACCCCCCCCCCCTTTTTTTTTCTTTCCAAACCCCATGATTTTTTCCCAAAAATGTATCTCTATCCACAATGCTTTTAACAAGAGGTTCCATAGGAAACGGCGGCATCAAGGAGCACCCGTAGAACATTCAATAACACGTCATCAACGATAGCTTATTGTACACAAATAAGCTGAAAGGGTTAGATATATGTTTTTTCCCTGAACAAACAAACAGAAAAGGACAAAAAAAAAGAACGTCGAAAGGGAAAGCAGGACAGACGAATCGGTTTACATCGTCTCTATAACAGCTGCGCTCTACATGTAATACGGAAACGACCACGCCCTCTGAAGCATGTATAAGGGCAGAGAAAAAAAGAGAGAAACGCATGGAAGAAGGAGGGAGAATGTAAGGGGGCCCGCGCAGCCAAAAGGTCGCAGCTTTTAATATCCATTACTTTCGCGTTAACGTCCAATGCAGGGCGGGCGCCGGTCACCTTGCAGCCTACAAAAGACGTATATATCAGAGGTGATTGCTGCACCACGAACAACCCAAGAGCGTAATGTAGGCACACGAATGCAGGCGCGCGAATCTTTCGAACGCGGGCATGCGGGAAGAGCAACGACCCTGCATGGCTGCTGCAGCGGTTTACATAGCAGCCTGGCGAGCACGGCAGCTGAGGCAGCAGCTTGATATCCGGCCAACATTTGCGGCTAAGCGGTTGAGAGGAGCGCAGAGAAATACCGTTGGGGAAAGGGCGGCCCACTTGTGTTTCAACGACAGCCACTTGTGCGACGGAGCGAGTGCTCGAACCCCGGGTTCTGGCTCGACGAAAGCGCACCGCTGACCAGCTGGCCCCGTACGAACGTATACGTCGCACCATCTGCGCTGAGCGCGCTCTGGAGTGACCACAGCTCGCAAGTACAAAGGAAAAAAAAAGTTATTTTTAATGTCACCACATACGAACTATTGCGCATGCCTGCGGAAAAGTGCATCTATAGTAAGAAGTTGTTTATATTGCGAATATATACTTAAACATCAGACAAGCAAACGGGCCTTCTACTGGTGACAGGAGTGTAAATGCCTTGTGCGATCTGCTGCCACTTGAATGGCGGACAGATTAGGAAAGTGTGGAGAAGCAAGGCACAGGGAGAAATACATGGTCACATTTACATTCTGTGATCGATCAATAAGCATGGCCACGAAACACCTGAAAGCTACAGTATCCATACGAATCGACCGACACACTGTATGTAACGGTGGCTCAGTGTCATTGCAAACTGCAGTGTAGGCAGCCAGAGATTATGGTATACGGAAAGTATTCCGTAAATCGCGTTTACGAACAACCGTTTCGCTTACGTTTTTGTTACACGTACTAAAGCACTGAATGTGACTACGTATGCAAA